CAGCCGCAGTGCGTCTGGGCTGTCCCGCTGCCCACGTGCTACGCGGCTTTGCTCCGCGTCTCCCTGGTCTGCTGGGGTATGTCTACACTACAAAGTTAATTCGAATTAACTTTGATAGGCATTACACTAGCGCTCCGCTAGTTCAAACTTAATTCGAACTAGCGGAGTGCTTAGTTGGAACTACGAAAACCTCATTGTACGAGGACTAAACCTAGTTCGAACTTACTAGTTCGAATTAAGGGGTGTGTAGCCCCTTAATTCGAACTAGTGGGAGGCTAGCCCTCTCCAGCTTTCCCTGGTGGCCACTCTGGCCAACACCAGGGAAACTCTATTGCCCCCCTCCCGGCCCTGGACCTCTTAAGCAAGCTTGCCAGCACCCAGCCAGCAGACCCTGCACCTGGCAGCCCGCCAGCCAGCCACCCGATCCCCCCCAGCCCTCCCCCTCTTCCCGGGACCAGGCTGGCGGCTCCCGGGAGCTTGCCCGGGACCGCAAGAGGCGGGCACCCACCTGGTCTACTGCAGACATCGTGGACCTCGTCCACGACCTCCGCACTAGGCACAGGAAAGTGGCCGTCTAGGGCAGGAGAGCTGCCAGCCTGGCCACCCAGGAGCAGGTGTGCATGAAAATCAAGGTGGTCCACTGAGACCCCCGACCCTGAGCCCTGAGCTTACAATGGCCATCCTGAGTCAGACCAAAGGTGCATTTAGCCCAGTAGCCTGTCTGCCAACAGTGGCCAACCCTAAGGACCCTGGAGGGGACCGGGCATACATGCAAGCCAAATTGGCAACTGTACTAAAATGAAATCATACATAATCCTTTTTGAGCCTTTTATTGTGTATCTAATTTTACGTATATTCTTTTTAGGAAACTGAAAAATTAATGGGCTAGGATTTGTTGAAAATAAATATTTCCCTGTCATTTAACCATAAATCTTCAGTAATTATCTGTAATTAAAACTATTTCTTAAAAACTGTGTATCTCATTGGTTAATTTAGTTCACTAATCTATTCAATGAAATTTGCTGCCTGGCTGTATAAGGAGAGAAGTAGTTGTTTCCCCATGATCACATTACATGGAGGTTCTGCAGTGAACAAAAGCTGAAGTAAACCATCCCCATAGGGCAGGGGTGAGGAAACTTTTTTGAGTCAGGAGCCACTGAACTGCAGGCAAATAGATTTTGTGTGCTCCAGCCCCATGGTGGTGTAGCAGGGGTTAGGGACTGGAGCGCCAGCACAGGCTCCCCAGTGCTGGGGTGGGGAGCCTTGAGCCTCAGAGGCCGGATGCTGGAAAGCTGGTGGCTGCAGGTCCCCCACCCCTTCCTTAGAGACTAGAGTAATTGCACAACTTATGACTATAAAGAATACAAGTCAGTTAATGTCTCTTGTTCCACTTCACACTTTTTCAAAATGTCAAAATTATTTACACAAAACGACAAAAAATGAATTCAGCCATAAAGCTTTGTATTTCAATTTCAGAGTGGGAGTTTCATTTGTTGCCCATTAGACACTCAGTGCTAAGAAAATGTCAATATATTTATAGTCTGATTGCTAATTAATAATATTTATATTATTATTCAGTTGTTGTTAACTAAGAATGAATGGCAGTCATTTAGCTTGAACAGGCATAACTTGACAGTATATCCATTTTACATCAAATGGAGGAAAAGGGTATCAATTGACTCTTAAAGAGAACAATTGGATTCTTTCAGCAATTTTTGACACTCTAAGGGCTAATATTATTTCATGAGTCATTTTATTGATTTTTTTTCAGCAAAGAAAAACGTATTTTAATAGATAGAAAGACAGACATGTATGCATTTAATGCTGGTCCATATATCACTACCTTTTTGATAGAAAATCGGGGGGTTGACTAAACAAACTTTTTTTTAAAATGTATCTTTGTGTGGAAAATTCTAACTCTTTAACCTAAAAAATGACACACATCAAAACCTTGAAACTTGAAGGAAAATAAAGGTCTGCTTTATTCTCTCTCTCTCTGGATATATCTACACTACAGAGTTTTGTCGGAAAAACAGCTGTTTTTCTGACAAAACCTGAGTTATGTTCACACTGCAATCGTGTTCTTCTTAAAGTAAATCAAAAGAACAGAGGGGGTTTTCTGACATTGGCAATCCTCTTTATCTGAAGAAGAAGCTTTTTTCCGAAAGAGCTCTTTCAGAATAAGGCGTGTGTGGATGGGGAAGAGGGAGTTCTTTCAAAAGAAGAGGAAAGAGCAAAAAGCCCAGGTGTCCTGGTGGCCACTTTGTCCATAGTAATCACAGCTTAAATGTGAGAGAGCATCCATTCAGTGTGGATGCTATCTTTCGAAAAAACAGATCGCTTTTTTGATGAGCTTTTGTGTGTGGACTATCTCTTTTGGAAGAAGTTTTTTCAGAAGATCTCTTCCGAAAAAAGATTCTTCCAAAAGAAGCCTGCAGTCTAGATGTAGCCAGAGGTCTCTCTCCAAACATATATATACACACACAACTCTTCCAAGCATTTCAAATATTTGTGTGTGCACTCATACCCGCTCACACATATATAATTTACTGCATAGTATTTAAGATAAGACCAATGTTTTGTATCTGCACTATGCTTTCTGGGATTTTTTAGAATGTAAGCACCTTAAATTTCAGCTTTTTCTCTCGTTTTTATGTACATCTCTAAATACATAAATAGTATCAGTATCTAATAATAGGGTAAATTCTGAAATCTTTTCTTACTTAAAATTCCCATTAACATCCTTTAAGATTCTGATCACAACTGCACTAAAGTAAATTCAAAACCAATAGTCAGTGAGCTTGCTCTTTATTTACTCCAGTGCCTCTATAAAGCAGATTTTTGACCTTCTGTAAAGACTTCAAGATTTGAAATAATAAGTATAATTTTTATAATACTTAATAATAATAATATACTCTCCCTGTTTGGTATTTCCAGATCCTATGTTGCATTACTGGGAATTCTGCAATCATAGTGAAATATATTCTTATAGATCTAAAGGAATAGGTGAAATGTCATACTTAGCTGGCCTGGATACTCAATTTGTTTCCGTCCAATTCACTGAATTTCATGTTAAAGGAAAGGGTAGTAAATGAGTGCATTAGTCTTCCATCTATAGAACCTTCAGTGCAAATCTTTTCTTGTATCACAAAAAAGAAAGATAGGTTGCCACAACACAATTAGCAGTGAGGTCCTTTAACTGAATACCAAGGAGTATAACATGTTCAATATTTGCTTGTATGAGCTCTAGTCAAGTAATTTATTCCTTCATTTTTATGGTCATTAAATTCACTTGCAAATGTACAAGCTTAAAATTCCGCAACAACAATGAGGTCATAGTTATTTCTATGGAGATCTAAGTACCACTGAACTATATGGAACATGTTGATTTACAATTCTGGATGGTATTTTGACACACATACCTTTTGTTAGTTGTAAGAGCAACCCTACATTTGTGTCTATAGTTTCAACCACCTCACTTCCAGTATTTACAGTATAAATCACTGTACCATAAAATCACTGTACAATGTTTTGCTGCTTTGGAGTAATTTTTTTTACTGTATGTAACACTTGCTTGAAGTGATGTAAGTTCAGGGGCTCGTGCAGGCAGATATGGATGTGATTAGACAATATTGTCCTCATAAATGTATTCAGTAGCCACAAAGTTACAGTAGAAATAGGCCGTGTAAATCTGTATTGAATTACTGGAAATGTTTGATTAGCTGTTAGTAACATTCAAAAATCTATATTATATATGCTGCAGATGATCTCTTGTCTAAATAATTTTGACCACTGGGGGCTCAGACTTCCCTCCTCATGTGGCATGTAAAAGAAAGAGGCATTTGTCATTCTGGTGTGTTTCAAAGAGTGTTTCTGAAAAGCTATCCTGCTTCAGTCTCTCCTTTCTACTATAGAAAAGCACTGCTAGGCACTGTTAAATGGATTAATTACCTTTTCAGTGTAAGAGAAAAAAGAAATAAGACTCTTGTCTTTATCTCCTCTGATTTCAGAGGCTGACTAGGGGCTTTTCAGATGCACATATTCCTTTAATGACTTAATCACCTAATTAGGTGACTTGCAAAGGCAATTGGCAAATGAGCAGAGGGTTATTTTCTAATTCTTATGTATCTGTTGATAGAGTGTAGGGCTCTGGTATAGCCTCTGTCCTTTCACCCCATTCAAGATCCTGTAGATAAAGAGTTAAGATTAAAGATGAACAATTTCTTTGAACAGGAAACGGCAAGTGTCTAAGTATGTGCTTTTTAGTTTAAATCTCTGCAGCATTTTAGCAACAAAGTTGGCTTAGGGTTTAGATTTAAATCACTTTAAACAATCCCTGGTTTTTGAAGTCGCCTTTCCATGGCATCCACTTGATATGTGTCAAAACCAGCTTTATATCTTCAGTCCTACTGAGCTCAGACATTTCAATGTGTCATAGAAAATGATATTTAATAAATTAAACAATATTCCTGATGTTCATTTCTTGTAATTTACTGGCTCCAAATGTAGGCGAGTTTCCTCTTTGATTATAAAGTTGTCTAACAGGTTGTTGGGATTAATGGGTTCATTATCTAACTCTGCCATGGAGTCGATGTGACCTTGCATAATTTACTCAACCTAGCAATAGCACAGTGTGTTAAAATGAGTACAATAATACATGGCTATCACCAAGGATTGTTTTGATGTATGTGTCTGTATCATACACCGAGATACTCGAATGATGTGTAGTTGCAAAATATGTTTATACTGCTGTCGGTCATGTGATGCTATCAGATTTTTGATTAACTCAACACAGCTATGAACTAAACTCTATAGTATGGTTTCTGGTTTTGATGATTCTTCACCGTGAAATCGAAGCCAATGGATGAATTTCACCTTATGTTTATAGTTTTGTATGATGCCTAGAATGGAAGCTCAAGGTGAAACTGTGTAGAAAACTTAGGATCAAGAAATGATTTTGGATATCACACATTGACTGTGACTTGGTTCCACATGATATTGACTAGAGGCTCTCTAGATTTGATTACAACACATGGTCATAGGCCCTACAGGAAGAAACACCAAGACACAAGGCATGTGGTTTAACTATCCATCAATAAGGGCATGTCTTCACTATGGGCTGGATTGATAGGGCAGTGATCAATCCAGCAGGGGGTCTATTTATTGCATCTAAAATAGATGCAATAAATTGACCACCGATTGCACAGCAATTGACTCTAGTACTCCACCTCAACAAGAAGCATAGGGGGAGTCAATGATAGAATGTGTCCAATCAATGATAGAGTGTCATGCTGAAGTCACGGTGGTAAATTGACTTCATCTACATTATTCTCCCTGCTAGACAAGACATATCCACTTTTGAGGATTGGTAGGAAGAAGGTGCACAGTTGTCCTGACCTATAACACTGTTACAATAATTTGGATTTATAAGACTAAAGTGTATTTTAACCCTGATCTTGTTCCATGCCACAGATTTGGACAGAGCAGGGCTTCACCAGGGTCTAATAACATAGATAAACAAAACTCTTTAGCCTGTCTAAATTTCCAGATTCAATCACGTTTCAACCATGTCTACAAACAGTGCAGTCCCCTCCCATATTTCATCATGGTGGGGATTCTCATCTCAGGTGAGGTTTGTCTTCACAGGAGTTAGCTCAGGTAATTGGTGCCTGGCCCTTGGTATATGGTTAATGATGAAAATGTGTGTGAGCAGCCACACTGCAAAGCCATATTTAACTGTCCTCATTGGTACTGCACTCAGCGTGTCACCAGGAGATCTGAGGGGTCTTATTACTGTGGCAATCTGAGCCTCATTATGATTTTTCCCATATGAACAGTAGGAGACTAGTCTGTCCTTCTGACACATGGAAAGAATTGTGGGGTAGCTTTGGAGAATTCTCAGGACTTGAGTAATTCAGCCTTTCTTATCACTGTAAAGTGGATGGGTTGCCAGCAGGCTCCGTGTATGCAGTTCTCATGCTTTAGCCAACACCCCAGGACAGACCAGCTATCACAGCTAAAAAGCACCACCACAATTTGGAGAAACCATTTTGTTTACAGACAGGAGGAGAGTTGGGCAACATCGAAGTCAGATCCCATATTGAATGTGTTGTGAAGATAACCCTTTGGTAGTTAGCCAAAGTATCCCAAGGAAGGATAACTGAAATGGAATTGGGGAAAAGTGTGGTTCATACAGTGATATCTAAAATCCTGGTAAGTTTTACTCATGTCACAGATGTTACATGCCATGGGGAAAAAAAGAGCCAGTATTCATGAAAAATCTATGCTTAAACATAAAGAAAGAAAGAAAGAAAGAAAGAAAGAAAGAAAGAAAGAAAGAAAGAAAGAAAGAAAGAAAGAAAGAAGTTTATTTTTTGAGCTCATAATCAAATGTATATGAGTTGCTAGGATGGTTCTGGCTTTATGTGACTAACAACGATATGATACAGCACCCAACATATTTATACACTTGCACAACTAATTTGCAATTAGTTCTTTTTTACCTTATGATATTTTTGAATTAATGGTGCTAAAAAAAATGTGTTGTGCTGTAGTACAGGAAACAGGTCCAATTAGGTGTGCACCACTAAAAACTAGTGTATCAGTCCTGGATCTCTCATCATAACAAAATTGCTAATACAGATGATATTTTTTAGAGAGCATAGAAATTATTATTTAAATAATTAAGATAGGCGCCAGACAACTCTAATTCTTTGTTGTAAGGCAAAAAAGTTGGAACTGAAGCGAACAAACAAAGAAAAGAACCTGTTTGAAAGGTGAAAATGCCTAAGCTAGTTTATTTAAACACCTCATATCCCACATTGCTCATACCACTAACTTATTTATAACATTTTAAAATAAATGTAAGACTTGACCCTCTTTGTCTTCCTGCACTACAAAAACACTGAAATCCCACCAGTTTCAACCTGAACCTGAGCATACACATAGGATCTCATTATTATTGAATTCAAAGGGTCTCTGCATCTGCAGTACAAGATTGCAGTATTCAATTCTGACAGGCCTAGTAGTTTATTTTTTAATTGGAATGAATAATCTGGATAGTTTCGTGTTTGTTCTGGCTTTATTTCTGTAATAATAATTATTTTAATGTACTGATTAATGAATCCATATGATCTGCTAGGTTGCAAACACCAGGAAGCAGAAGCAAAGTAAGATGTTTTCTTATCATTTCAAGGATATCCGCAGCTAATGACAACAATTCCTGCATCACTAACTCTTAAAAATGCACTTTTGGTGGGTGCTGCCTGTCAGGCCTGATCCTCCAACCCACACCATCAATCCTGGGTAGTCTTTAGTTTCTGCTCATTACTTCCATTACTACATTAGTATCCTAGTCATGTACACTATGAAGGAACAATTTTACCTACTGTAACGTAGAAAAACTGAGGCACTGATACTGATAGAAAAAGTGAGCTGAGGGGAGGAATGATCTAATGCTGATATTCTAGATGATAAATGCTGATAGATTATGGCAATGGAGTTTGCAAGAATGAAACTTTCTTCCATCAAGTGGATTACTTTATCATTAATTTTGGTTAATAATTTATTGGTAAAACACATGGCTATTATTTATTTTAGTATAGTCCAAAATCTGAGACAATTAGCCTGAATCAAATCTTGAAACTGCTCATTTAAAGAATAAGCAGGTGGTTTTTATTCTGGCAGAATTTACTGTGAGTTCAGCAAGAATGAGTCTCTGCCAGGGCAGAGGAGTCTGCATGAACAATTCTCTATACAAGGCTAGGGCCCTGTATTGCTTGATCTTCAAGGCAGCCAGGGCTACTTCCTCTGAGCAATTGGAAATCATGCATCACAATTGACTGGGGCCTTGAAGCATGCCTGTGATAGCTGTATTACATAATAATAATAATTAAGCCCAAACATCTTTAAAAGACGCCTTACATTGCATTTTCTTCTGCGACAAAGAGGGACAAATGATCCAATGAGTTTCCATTAATATATAAAAAGGATCTATCTGTTGCAGTCCTATGAAGTACCATTTGGCGATTGTAAGTTCCCATATTAAGGGAGCTTGCAACTTAGTCATTGCTACTTACCAAAGAGATATTTATTTCAACTCAGATTGGAGGGAGAGGACTAAACCAACTACAAGTTTGAACCAAAGTAAACCAACAGAATCCTTTCCTGTATTTATTTACTAAGCCAATAACTTCACAGCATTTTCCAGAATATCAGGAACTATTTGAAAAGAGCAAGGAAGAGCCAAGTGAGGCTAAA